TGCTGAAAATACAAAAACTTCTCCAGGATCACCACTCCATTTTCTTCATCTACTAGTAAATATCTGCAACACTGGCTCCTTTTTCCTCAGATAATCTTTTGAGTTTTCTTATTGTGCTTGCTTTACATTTGAAGCACTCATCAAAAGGAAACACGATAAACTATAAGAAAACAATTAAACTAATTTATAAAGCCCCTCTCATGATAAACTGATTCATATAGTCATGCAAGAGAAACTTACATCAGGCTCCTGCACGTCAGGTACTGTATGATGAGGATCAGGATAGTACTTCAAAAACTGTGCTACATAGGTCATAACAGACTTTTCATCTGGCTTGTCAACATCCACATCTATAGAAGTATAGAACAAAGTAAATTAAGTTTTAGCTAAATGGCATAGAATGCTACTTGAATGTCTAAACATTGTGAATAAGCACATGATTATGTGATTTAACCCATGCAAATAGTTCCACTTTTTTTCAACTATGCATTAGGTACCTTCTGGATCAAGGAGCCTTGGAATTCCTAGTTCTGCTTCTGCAAGTGTGAAGGCTTCTTCCAGGTTTTCTCTATTTGACCTTCCCCTCACTTTCTCCATGTCCACTAAATCCGGGCGGATAGCATGAATAACAGAATGAAATGCAACACCACTCCTCCAGCTCTGTCCAAAATCTTTGATTTCAATTCCAACTTGCCTAAAGATTATGAAAGAAAACAAAGTAACTTGCATTAGCAACAAGCCTGGATGAAATAGGGGAAGAAACAGGGTGCTTTACCCAATGGATACCTATCATCAATGCTAAACCACTTGTTCCTGCAGTGTTAATCAGGTCAATTACAGCTTCACCCATTCACTGCATTAATTAATTTCTGCTTAGGAAGATCCAGGAACTTTTTGTCATATACATAGTGTATTTGTCTCCAATGGGCTTACTAGTGGCAGTAAGCCAATGGTATTTTGAACAAATGAAGTGCACCAAAATTCTCAAGGTTCTGGTATGACACACACAGAATCTGTGGATGTACACAGTTCCATTCACTATTCTCTCTCTCACTAAAAAGCATTTCATACCCCCCTCCACTATGACTACTGCAGTTCAGTTACATACAACAGTACCGTACAAAAAAAAAAAAAAGGGGGAAAAAAACCCACTCAATTAACCTGTTATCTTTTAAAACGGAAGCATGAACAGTAAGATCACTGCTGTGCAGGTGAACATGTAACATGCAAATTTCTTTATAGTTTTACCAAAAGCATGAGTGATACTATAATTTCATACACCAAGAACAATTATGCGTCCATTAAAAAAATAAACACAAATGATCAAGAAATAGTAGTATACAATGAGAAAGTACTCAGAACTAAATCACACTTCCAACCACTTCTTTTTAAAGTAAGTTTGAAAAGTATGGTGGTCCACAGACTGTAAGACTGGGGTTTTTTAACGTGGTCTGATCATGCAGACTTCCTTTGAGGACACACTTAGACACTAAGGTAGTCTTGCCTTCAGGAGGTTCACAGTAACAGTAACTCTGAATGAGGGCTTCATCCAAAGCTCACTGTGACCAGTGAAACACTTTCTTGAACCTTAATTAGCTATGCCCAGCAAAATGCAATCAGAAGCAGGGCTAGGCGCAGTGTACTATCCTTCCTCCAGGCTTCTTTCAACACATGACACCTACTCTTCCTGGTAATGTTGACTGTTTCATTCACGAACCTCTTTCTTTCTTTGTATTTTGTTTGTTTACATGTCCAGAAATTGCAGCTGACCACTTTCAGTTGCCTGTTTCTTAATGATAACAGTGTAATAGGAAGGATGCCAAATTAGACTGCACTGCACTATAAATTACTGTATTCTACCTGTTCATTGGAGAAGAGGAAAAGTCTGTATCTTTACAATTATATTTCTTTTCTCTAAGGCACTGTCCCATAAATGGCTACCCCACCCAATTTTTGTCCTTAGTTTGGACAAATAAATCCATTTTATTATTTTACATCTTTGATTTTTATTTTCTTATGGTGGAAGATATCAAACTACTATTGTATCTTTGATCTAATTTATGCACTTTTTAAATGCCTTTTTGGAAGCAGAGTAAACATGGCATAATTATACCAAATAAAGAAGACTCTTTAGTTAACAAGAGATGGTAAGAAATAATTCTAAAATAACTTGGATTAAAAAGAATGAAAAAAAAAAAACAGGGCAATTTTTGTAGTAATATGTCCCTTGCATCACAGAACTGCAGAAGAATATTCATAATATTTCATCACCTGCCTTTCAACAGCAAGTACCAGAATCTAGTGCTCCTGCAAGTTCTGTTACACTAAGGAATGCTAAATTTTGGCAACAAGTTTAATACACTGTCATTCAGGTATCTAATTCTCCTTTCAGTTCCTCATTCTGTCAAAGATAGTCTACAGCAGAGATAGAAACTACAAAATATGACTGCTTTTAAAGTTAATGCAAATTGTTATTTTTTACTTGCTTGTGGTATAGTGGTGACATTTAGCAGTCTCAGTTGTCAAAAAATATAATCACATGGAGGTGCTATAGAAATAAAGAGGAAAAGTACAAGCCCTGACTGGAAGAGTTTAGAATCTGAAAAAAAGTTTTCACTTAAGATGTTAATTCAGTTCATTTGTAAGTTACTTACTTTGCTGCTGTGTACTGTATCCATTTTAACAAAGCCTTCCTGGCACTTCCTTGGACCTTGGTTACCACCTTCCGCTTGCTTGGGGGACTCGCAGTTTCTGAACCGACAACACTCTCCACAGAAGAAGCACTGCTAGACAATGACTGCAGCTGTGGGAGGTTGCTGGTAAGCTCTTCAATCTTTAGGAAAAAAAAATATTAATGGACTCTTTGTATATAAACTTAATTTTCAGCAGTTTCTTAAATAATTTCCTAATACAACAGACAAAGTTGGGCAGAAGCTATGACTAATATGCTGTGGTTTATTTAACTGTATATTAAAGTAGCTTAAAAAATGCTAGTGTGTGCCTAGGTGATGGTCTTCATTTCAGAAGTACAAAACATCTTGTAATCATTGACTTTCTCCACATCCTACAGCTAGAACAAAACACAAGTGTGTCCTGTTATCAGTTATGACAGATTACTATTGAAATAGGAGACAATGGGTTACACCTGGCTTGAATTCAAATTATAAAATAATCCAGTAACTTCAGAGGAGGTTCATTCAAATAAAGAATGGAAGTGACCTCAATGATCTCATCTAGGTAGTTCTTTATTTACCATTGCACTGTTTTGGTACAAATTCAACTGTAGTTTTCTTAGAGGTATCTTGTGAAGGAATAGTGAACGTACAACCAGCAGAGTGCATTAGTAGTGCTTGCCAAAGGTGTGTGACAATCAGCATGACAGAAAGGCATTATGCCTATCATCAAATGAAAATCATTAACTTGACTCTCTTAAAAGCATTATGTTGAACAATTTAGTTTAAATGTTTTCAAACGTAACAGAGTTTTGTCACATCACAGAAAGCATCCGCACACTGAGAACCACAGCTGTCATGCACTTCTGCTTTCATTCATGTCAAAATGATGTATATGCCTGTGACAACTAAAGAAAAGCTCAAAAAATTACACAAGTAAAACTGATGCAGGCAACTAGAGTTTCAGTAACTCTGAGAAGAGTAATTTTCCATGTTTGTCTTAATGAGCTATATATAAAAATAAAAATGTCAGTATCATTCTGGCTTACTTTTCTTTTGATCTGAATCATTGTGGCATCACACTGGTTTGTGCTTGGAAGAACAGCACCCCCAAGACATAAAAGCTACATCACAAGAGAGCCAAAGCCAAAGAACGTCAAAGTAGAACAGCAAAACTAGTTGGTTTTTTTTTAGTTGCAGAGCAGTGACTCATTTTGTTAACTCATATGGACATGATTTAGAAAATCGTTTTACCCTCCTACCTAACTGCAACAAAATGTAAATTACTTCTCCTCTACAATTTCAAATCCATCTCAACCTACACCATTTGTAGCTAAATCTAGTCCTTGCAATTATCAGCATCTCCCAGTGAAATCAGCATGTTTACATGTATCGTTTGAAAATAATTATTGCCTGACTTTAAGGTGTACTGAAATTAGACATAGAGCAGCACAATCACCACTGAGGTTGCTAAAAGTACATATAACAAGAGTCTATCCATAATTCTATCTTCATTGTTGCTCTTTTATATTCTTCAGAGAAAGTGGAAGAATATGTTCTAGTGATGAAGGAACTCCATTCTAGGCCCAGACCAACCTATTCCAAAAACAAGTACCTCATTTTATGCAGTGTGAAGCACCTCTAACATCAACTGTTGCTTTATCGGGATCAGATCCTCAGATAATTACAAAGTGACCTAGCTATGGTGAAAGACTGAAACTACATCAGTTCATATGAAATGATGATCTGAACCATTATTTGGGCAAAGTATACTTAAGTATAAAAAGTGGAGCACCTGAAAATACAAAATTATGGTCCACACCAAGCCAAGCACAATAGAAGGCCTTCCATCAGCAATATCAGTTGAATTTATGTTGACAAGCTTAATCTATATAGGAAAGAAAATATGTGTTATTACCACATAGAAGGAATGATAAACAATTATGAAACACATTTCAAATAGGTTTTATATTTTAAATGCATTTTTGCAATCAAATAACATGTTTCTTAATTTAAAAAAAAAAAACAGTAAGTGGTGCAATTTCACTTTTTAGACAAGTATAGCTATATACAGTAATAATAGATTTTAAAGACCACTGTATGCTATTATTTGTAGAAAAGTATTTAATTTCAAGTAAAAAGGACAATAAAAATTACATAGAACCATTGTACAAACCGGAGATCCTCTGTATATAGACTAGCATGAAAAGCAAAAGGGAAAAATGATACAAAAATAAGTTTAAAATTATCAGTTTTTAGGTAAATGCACTCGTTTGATTTTCTAATGCAAAGAAACCACATTTTTGGAACATCTAACAACACTATTAATAAGAAAAGCTAATTAAATACTGCATAACAGATTCTAAATTATGCAGGGGTTTCTTGCTATAGTTCTAATGGATTTGAAGTGGGAACAGAAAAGTGATCTTAAGAATAAACAAGAAAGGGAAAAGGCGGGTAGAAAGTATAAAAGAAAGATAAGGGGAAAAAAGAATGCCACAGTTCTCCCATAGACAGCCTTTTATTGTATAGGATATTAGTGCCACTGCTTAAAACTTAACTGCAAGGCCAACCTGACTATAGTTTAGGCTTTTGTTCACAGAAACATAGCCTACCTAGTCTAGTTATTGCATTACCTTTGGTTTATACTCCATTAAAATGGATATAAAACTACAAAATATAATCTTCAGAACCAGCAAAACAAAAAAAACAAAACCTACAGTTTGTTCCAGAATGATACCTGTTAAATGCTAGCTGCACTTTGCAGTATAACAGGAGTGTCTGAGACTTTTGTCTGAGCAATGAGAATAGGGATTTAATATGTAATAATTTATGAGAGAGCCCAGGGAGGAAGGAGACCCTGTCGACACTCCCCAAAGCTCTTCATACAGCCACCCGTCACTGTTCATTCACCTTTGAGTACACACAAGGGACTGCACTCAGCTGCTGAAGAGGCATTTGTTATCTGAACAGCATCCCCACCTCTGGAAGAAAAAGGGTGGCAGGCTGCATAGATGCATCCTTCAGACTGGATTCAACCTAGAGACCACCTGCCAATGTGCACTGATCTACCTGACACACCGTGTATTTCCAACCCCCTCTAGAAGAAAATCTGGCATACTGATACAACATACATACAAAAATAAGTCCAGATAAAAATACTCAGATACCAGAAGCAAAACCACAGTGCTCCATTTCTGGCAGTCTGTCTTAATCTTCAGCAGGGTCAGTTGTTTAGCTGCCCTGATGTATTATTTCTGGGATCTAAGCTGGGTCATTCAAAGTTCAAGACACCCACTACCTTTTACTCTTCAGCCCAGCCTTGTCTTAGGTTATACAGGTCTCACCAGCAAGCACCTCTCTGTACCTAAGCCTCTGCTCTTGGGTTGCATAGGATATGGTTTGCATTAACAAACCGTGCTACATGAAATAGTGAAATTGTGAGCCAACAGCTGAATTTTGCTTTGTGAATGCATTTGGTTTGGTTATACAGTTTTCAATTTAGAAAGTTCTCTTGTAGATTTCTTTCTACAAGCATCTCCTAAGATTTTTTTTCCCATATAACAGAAATATAATTAGGTGAAGATGCCATAGGATTAAAGAGAGGGAAAGAATGCCAAAATGCAATAACTCCTCAGGTACACCATTGTGGAGATATAAAATCCATCAGGTGTTACATCTTCCTTGAGAAAAATTGAACGAAAATGCAGAAATTGGAACAAATATCTGCAATCTAATTAAAAAAAAACCAAAACAACACAAACAAACAAACAAACAAAAACAAACAGATACAAGTCATTAAAATACAGAGAGGAAAGTCAGGAAAAAAGGTAGAAGTAGATTGCTTTTGTTTGATATCCATACCTAGACCACACTGAGCTTTTTGGTTTCCTGTCTTTTGTTAAATTTATGAAATATTTTGTTTCATTTCTAAAATGGACTCAGAACTGACTTTACCAGAATCAGTCCAGGAACTAGTTTGAAGTCCTGCAAAACCAATAGGGGTCACACTGTTCTAAATTTTCAAGTCTATATTTTCAGGGAATGGAGTTTTGCATGTACGATCTAGTGAAGTCCATAAATCTATTCCTTTAATTATAAATTAATGCCTCTACAGAATTGAATATCACTGTCCTTTGCTGAGAAGAGCAACAGAAAAGTAGGGAACATAAAGAACTGAAGAGCACATTAAAGGAGGGAAAAAAAAAAAAAAAAAAAAAAAGGAAGGAGATTATCCAAGGTGATTCTAACTAAAAAAAATAAGAAAAATAAAAGTTTTACCCTATAAATGGCTACATATTAGCATTGGGTCTTGTCATTTTTACTTTACAGCAGCTTTTAGGGAATTTTTAGGAAACTGAAGACTGCATACATAGCTCAAATTGTGGTGAACAAGAACAGATAGGTGGCTACGAATCATAGATTTAAGGAAAGAAAGAAAAAAAGAACCAAAAAGCAGGAGTAAGAGATACCAAACCTACCCGTCTTCCTTCTAGAAACTTAAGAGCTGTGCCAATGTTGGCAACCCAGTGAATTCTCTTCAGCTGCCGTCCCTGCTCACAAGGCTTAAAGAGAAAGAACAGTGTAAACTCCAATTAGATTTATGTCAATTTGCTGAAAAAAAATTAAGTTCCATATTATTATAAATACATATGTGCATACCATAGTCTGATTTACAGGTAACAATGTTCCTTGGAACAGTCAAATTGTATCTTTTCATATACCAACAGGGAAGACTGACAGATATAGGAGTTGTAAATGTGATACTTTTATTATAAAAGAAGTTACATATGTCTTAATAACATTGGGATGCAAGCTGTCAGCTTCAGCCTATAAACTTCATTAAATTAGATAAATGTTTTTCTTATTTAAAATAAACTAACTGTTTTTATGCACACACACGTATATAAGTATCTGAGAAAAGGCAACATTCAGTCAGTAAAATATTTTTGCCTGCAAAGGAGAAGTCAAGGTAGTTGTTATTTTTAAAAATCAGTCAGCAGTGAAGACATTTTACTTAGAGGATTTTTATCTGTTCTTTCTAATACCTTATTGGTGATTGAAAAAAACCAACTATTACAAAACCTCATTGAACAATGAATTTTGCTGAACTTTAGACCTGTAGGCTAAAAAGAGATCTAATTCTTTGAATTAAATCAAGACAATATTCTAGGCTTCTAATACTCTACAGTGGAATGAAATTCCACACTGAATCTTATATTGTAATGCAATTAAACAGCTGGTATAATTTAAATTTGTGTTTGTAATGTTACAAATGGATTTTAAAAAGGCCTGCTATAGATTTTGAAATTTCTCTTGCAGTTACTACAAGGTATGATATTCTGGTATAGGTAACCTTTAAATTAACCATACATTACTCTCATTCTGTAACATCTCTTGTCTTTCACTAATTGATATAGGCAGGATACAATCCAATGAATTTCCTTCTAAGAGGTGCTGTCAAAAAAAAGCTTGTCCTCTTTTACTACTCCTGTTTTGCCACAAGAGGGAGACTTTCTGTAATAGACGAGCAGAACCAGAGCTATTTCAACAGAGCAGAAGAAACACATTTGAACATAGAGCTTCTTTTCCATCATACAGTAAAATCACTCTTGCAGTCTGAATTACTACCTGATTTTGGGTATCACCCACAATCAAAATCGAGGTGAAATATGAAAAAGAGGCAGAAGTGTGGCAATTGCAAATTGCCTGCATGTGAGGGAACAGGTAACATCTGAACCCTGGAGCAAGTAGAATGATGGACTGTTGCTTTACGCCTTCAGATGCTGCCTCTCAATCTGTGAGCTGGCTTGGATGAAAGTCAGAGGCCTTGGCCTAAAACCCTTTCACTTTTCTTCCACATCACAAGCACATAACTAGCCTGGCTCCCAAAAGACTGCCTATTTGCTATGTACACGCTGTAGCCTCTGTATACGATACAGCTGTCAAAAAGCCATATGGCATTAGCTGAAGCTCTTTACAGTAGCAGAGCAGCTACTGTAACGTAAATGAACATAAGGACCCATGAAATTTGAGGGGCTTACTTTTGGGTTTTTTTTTTCAAAGAGAAAGCCATAAATTTAACAAGAAAAGACTTGTTATTTCTTCAAAGTGTGTAGAAATAGCTTGCAGTTTAGATCTTGTGTCATAGTAGTAGCACCCATATGGACTGCAAAAACTAACAAAAATAAGCAATTTTGAAGAACTACTAAGACAAAAGTAATAGAGGATGCATAAGATCAAGGATGTCAGTCTGCAAAAATGTGTTTGTTTTGTAACCAGATAATACACTCTGTGAATAAATGTATTTTGCAATGTAGAAGTCTGATTTTTTTTACAGTATTCAAATATAAAAGCACATTAGAAAATTATATCCTAGAGAAATGATGTAACTATCTTGTATTTTCAGAAGAAAGAAAGTTCTTACCAGCTTCTGCCCTGAAAGAACCTCCAGAAGGGCTATTAGCATTACCCCATCTTTGATATCTTCAAACAGATCATTCACCAGCATGGGAGGATGGCGCTGAAAACAGAGAAGACTTCAGATATCACAAAGGCTCACCAGCACTACAACCTTTCCTTTTGAACAGAAGCACAAAGAGTGGCTGGTCCCCTTCTTTACATTTTATAATGTTTAATATCAATATATCACTTAACTGCTTTAACTTAATTGCTTTGCCGCCATATTGTTTAAGTAACATTTCTTTTGCAGGACTGTAATACTAGATACTTTCTGCCACTAATGATCCAACAGAAAAACCTCCTGCTCCCTCTAACAACCAAAGAAACACAGCAACAACTGCCTATAAAATACATGTAATTTACAGATACACTATCACAGTCACATTTCAATCTATTGGTGTATTTTGCCTGGCATTAAGTATGTCACAGAAATTTCACTCTCTCTGTCTGAGCAATACAAGGAGCTGTGTGAAGGAAAGATTCCTAAAGTAGTGTAGCTGGTTGAGCAATGCTGCTACTTTCTCACAGCTGATCATTAAGTTGCTGTATTTTCTCTCCTCTCCTCCAGGCCTTGCACGCTTCCAGTGCTGTTACCACTGTGTCAGCTTCTACTTAAAAAAAATTGCTTAACATATGTCTCTAGATTCACAAACACAACAATGATAATACTGCAAAAAATGTAAACAGACTATGTTTTAGGGATTTTGAATAACAAGATCACATCATTTAATTCTATTTCTTCAACACATTCCAGTTTGTGGAGCTATGGTGGCTCTTAGCTGGTCAATACTTCAACAATCATAAAACATGTCTTAGAAAAAAAGTTTTATACTTTCTCCAACTGAAATAAATGCCCTCTAGTTTCCATGAGCTTGTCAACATTCATATACCTGCTAATGAACATAATAGTATAACATTCATGCCTGTTAATTCACTAAAATGACATTCAGACTACAAAATTATTGAAATTGCTGCAGGTTTAGTAATTTATATTTGGGCTATTTCTGAAAAAAATATGTTTGTACAACAATTTGATCAATCACTTCTGCTCTGTAGCAACACAGATTTGAAAAGATGAACCTAACAAATGACAACACTGCTCTTGAAAAGGTAAAAATGCTACAAGTCAGGAGAAAGAAAAGATTTCCAGTTACCAAAATCAAACCATCCTACCCTCATTGTTCAGATTGCATGAACTAATATTTCAGTGAGATGTAATTTTGGCGTAGAGTGGAAAAAGCACTTCTCTGCTGAAAGGAGACTTCATCTGTTGTTTGACGTGCTCTAATAGCCACAATAATAAAAGAGTCTATTTTCTTGTGTATATAAAATAAAGCAGTGTTACAACTCATTATGAGGGTACATTTAGTCATAGTTCTTTTATATTTCCTGGCTATACAACAGAAAATGGATCATGTTCTTCCTTAATACAACATCAAAGAAATCAATGAAGCAAACAGGTCACTAGATATTAATTTGTCCCAGTCTTGCATCACAGGCAGTTGACATAAATGCAATTAATTTTCCTCACCTTCTATGTTATCATTTCCTGTTTGAAGTTCAGAGCAGCTTTGGTTTTATCAGTATTACCACATGACACAATACTGAAGAATTATGTGCTAAAATAATTCAGTAATAAAGACAAGAGGATTAGGGCAACTGCCATCCTAATCCAACAGGAAGTGAAGGCCTAAAAAAATCTCACCACCTACCAAAAGGCCCCAGTAGTGAGGTTTGTCTCTTAATATTTATTCTACAGTAATGAAGATAGACAGGTTCTTATAGAGGGCAGTTTAGGATACATTTAAGTTGAAGGGTAAGTGAGCTTTACAGCACCCTGTAACCTTGGTGCCCATAACATGCCTGTCAGATGACTTATTTGAGCACAACACAGCTCCTTTCCAGCTTGAACAGCTTGATATCCTTACTCTCAAATCAAGTTATGGGCCAGAATTTAACTTCATCCCAACATGAAGTCAAAAGTCATCTGGAATTCAGATGTAAATCAAGCTTGGGAAGCACCTCTGGTTTCCACAGCACATATCTTTACACTATAGATAAAAATTGCCCATGTCAAGCTCTTGCCCTTAACCACCCTTCACTGGTCATTCCTTACTGACAGAAGTTATGAAAACTAAATTTGTACCCTAACTGAGGCATGGTACAAAGGTACTATGGCAGTGAAAGTATCCCTGAAGAGATCATCTAAATAAATTAACAAGTACAGTACTTTTGACATAAAGTAAGTATTGGTTTGGGGAAGACTAGGTGAAGAACTGAGCAAGAGAAGAAGCAGCAAAGAAACCACCAAATTACTTATACCAAAGTTGAAACCTGCTGCTCTGAAGTATGAGTCACAACAATTGTCCATAAATCAGCAGCCTGAAATGTACTTTTTGTTGCTGGATGGTTGCATAACTAGGAGCACTGCCAGTCTTTAGCAGCACACACCATGTACCTTAGCATCAATAAAACAGGAACAGAAAGCAGGTACAACAGCTGTGCCACAAGATCTCCTCTGTGAGACTCCTCTAATACAATTATACAGGTTGCCAAAAATGTTCTCTGAAACATAATATAATGGTTTTCATGACCCTGAAGATGTTAACACCTAATTACAAGGAGGTAAGACCCTCACTGTGTTTCACAATTCCCTTTGGTTTTTTACTACTCTGGTCACATAGCATATAATTTACCCTCTTGTTATGACTAATCTTTCTCAGAAGCATGGAATGAGTTATATTTTTAGTGGTATATATAGAAGAATAGATTCCTCTTTTACATAAGGATTCCATACATATCAATCTTATTCCCCACGGTGATACAGTTCCAGAATCTATACACACACTAGCTGATACTGTGAAGTTCACACAATACTTATTTATTGCATATGGAGCACTGCACAGGATGGCTCGAGCTACTTCACTGTTTCTCCGGGCAGATCCTCTACTGAGACTAATACAGCTTTTGTTGGAATGGATAGATACCTACTCTTTGCCTGCATATATAATGCTAAATCAAAGGAAAGGAAAAAATGGAACTGTACATTGTTTACTTATTAGACTCCAGAGGAAAAAAAATAATTTACAGCTGTATTCAGTTAAAATCTATTGAATACTATTTATTTTAGAGAACAAACAAGACTTAACACCCACTTCACTTTGTTGCCTTAATGCACTGCCAAAATACTAATTCCAAATCAGTAAAGGCAGGGAAAGAATACTAACTTGAAATTCTGTAATCTTGAAAATACTGTATGTACTCCAGATTTTTGCTTTTTGCAAGTAAATGTATAGCTCTAGTAATGTGATCAACCACAATGGTCCTAATAGACTGTATTTTTGAATGTTGAAAGTCTCTGTAAAGAATTTAATGAAGTAATTTTTAAATCAGGAAAAAAGAACATTTAAAAAGTATAGGAAGTAACCTCCTCAAATCCTATAATACTAAAGAAAATCAGTTATTGTACTGGTTTGGGGGGGGGTGGTG